ATGATATGATGAACTTGATGATATGACCGTCGATGATATACACTCATATGATGAACTTGATGATATGACTTGATGATATACACTCGCCAGATCGGTTACACCAATTAGTTTGCATACTAGTTCCACTTTTTCCAGCGATTCTGCAACTGATTGTTGATTGTTTCCACTAAACTCTGGAATTAACTTTAAATCTATTTTAGTCGACATTTTTGCCGAAATAACTTGTTGTTTCACATCAAAATCAACTTTATAAGTTTAGCGTTAAACACCTCATATTTTCTAATGCAACTCAACATAATTTATATACAATCATATTCTCTTAGTATTTACAACTAAGACGCAAAATACAGTCATATTCAGTCATATATACAATCATATTTTCTTGGTATTTACAACTATGACTTTATATTATATACAACTATTTAAAATTAATGCAAATCGATCGTTAACAATCATAAAATATAATTACACGTTACATAAATACATGCTGTGTATATTTAGGAGGTGGGGGAGAGAGGTTAAGTTGAAGAAAAATCCATAATTTTCAAATTTTTCATTTTAGTGTAAATAAAAATAATGTCAGCAAGCAACATTTTTGAAAAAATATCTTATCGTGAAGTTTAAAAAAAACCATATTGCAATATTCCATTACAGAGATCTTATGCAAAGAGCTGATTTTCCAAACATTTCTTCAGTTAGTATAGCTTCATGTCCTCTTGGAGATTTCTTTACTGCACAATGTGCTGAAATAGGCGGTTATCTCCAAAAATGTTTACCATGTGTCCTTAATGAGGTGAAGAAAATTTGGTAAAAAGCAGGAATTTCTTTTATTAATACTGACAAGGATATCAGGTTTTTATTATATTAAAATGATTTTAAATTTTTAGTTTTATCCTATTTCAAAAAATTTTATATAAGTAACAATTATAAATTCATAAAATTTTTTATGTTTATATTAAAATACATTAATTTTAATGCATTTTTCTACTCTTGTTTTACAGACAAGATTGTTGACTTGGAAAAGAATAGAAAAGATTTAAACAAACACCGGAACGGTTTAAGTACAAATTTTTGTTTTAAAAAGAGAAAGTTTTTCAAGTCAAAATAATTGTAAACATATTATTATGAAAGATAAAACTAAAGATTTAAAAACTAGAAAAGAAGATGTAGATTTTCTTAACAACCAGAAAGAAGCATGTGTTCAGAAAATATGAGGTAAGGATAAAATTTCACAAAAAATTGTAAAAAACAAAGCAAAAAGTAAAATTTAAAAAAAAATCAAAGAACAAAAGAGTACATGAGAAAGTACTCTTTTGTTCTTTGATTTTTTTTTGTAAAATTAAAAAAAAAATCAAAGAACAAAAGAGTACATGAGTACATGCATTGACTCTAGCTTCTCTTATAAATAACAGTTTAGGAACAACAGATGATTTTTCCATTTCTAAATGAAGTATTTTGAGACAGAAAAAAGTAAGTATAAGTAAAACTGCTTGTATTTTATTATATTGGCTAAGGAAAAAAGTCATTTTGACTCAAAAACTATGGTAGAAATGAAAGAACTTGGTAAAGAAAAAGTTGAAAGAGTAGCTGCATTGATCAGCTCACCAGATCTTTCGGGATCCCAACTTTTGGGCATTTTAATTGTAAAAGATGGCACTGCTGAGTCTCTAGGAAAAGCAATTTAAAAGACTAGGAGCTATGTGACAATGTTGATTGTCTGTCCTTTGACACTATAGTCACAAATACTGGTTGGCTAAAAGAAGTCTGTATTTTAATTGAGCAGTGGAGAGGAAAAACTTTGCTTTGGATGGCTTGTCATCATCATGTCTATGAATTACATATTAAGGTAAATATTGAAAAAATCATAAAATATTTTTATATTTATATATTTAATTGTGAATATTTCTCGATGAATTAAATGATTCACCTTATTAAAGTTTAGTTAAATGATTTGAAATAAATATATTTCAGCACTTTTCAAGTGTTCTTACTGGTGGTAAAAAAAGAGGTGAGTTATTTGAAAGGCTGAAGTGTAATTGGAAATTAAATTGAAAAGAAGATAAATTATGATAACCTAAAGAGATTTAACTCTTAATTAAACCTGCTTTTCCAAAAAAAAATTGTATCTTTTTTGGAACAGCAGGTTGGTTTAATTATCCTTATTAGAATAATATGTTTGATTATAAGTTTTAATTAGGAATGTACCGAAGCTTCGGTTTGGCTGAAGCCAGGTCAATTTTTTGCCGAATCTTTGGCTTCGGCAAAAAATTTTAAGTAATTAAAGTTATAAGCTACTGTTGTACAAGTTATAAAAATACGCTAATTGCCAGTGTCTAATTAAGCTATAAATTCAGGACTGCAGAGTTAAAGTTGGAGTCTATACCATATACTTAGTATTATTTACTTTGAAGGCTTCCAAGTGTGACTTTAGATGAACTGAATCAGCATTTCTATGCAGAATAAAAACCTTATAATTTAAAACAAATTAAAAGTTTTTATA